TCTACAAAAAAACCTACCTAAAAAAAACCTTTTTGGTTTTTTTTTTTTTTTTTTTTTTTTTTTTTTCTGTACAGCCTCTATTCTGTTGCAATTAAGTTTTAGTAGTTTGTATGAAAGAAGTGGACTAGAAAGCAAAAATATATTTCTACTGTAATTTGTCTTCTCCCTCCTATCCCCATCTCTTGCTCCTGATATGCATCAATGAAGTTGATCAGAATGGCCAATTTTCCTAGAAATATACATTCATTAATTAGCTAAATATTTAGTGACTTAAACTGGCCTTTGGCTTCCAGTCAAAGCTTCACTATTGGAGAGCATGGTTTGCCTTACAGAAACCTTGTTCTTAAGAAATTATGAGAATGATGAGTTTCTTGAGAATCTTAGGAAGTATCATATAGTGTTTATCTGGCATTCAGTTACATGAACGACAGCTACTATAGCACTGGATGGTAAAAGATCTAAAAAGACACATTTTAATTATCCAGGCTGATTCTACTGCAGAATTTACCCCTCTCTCCAAAAAGGAAATAATCTTGAGGTGCACGATAGTATTTTTCAATGGTGGGCATTTTGACATATGAAAAAGTATTTTTAGCTAAGTTGATTGTGTAGTATTGCAAGACATCATAACCAGACAAATAGAAGTTCATCATGTTTTAAAGTAACACATAACTTTTCTTGCATATATAAAACATTAATGCATTTTAGTTAAACATACTGAATATAATGCTGTAATTTACATGTTAAGTTTTTTTTCTAGTCTTATTTCATTAGGTTCACAGCAATAAATCATAGCGTAACATTTTATTTACACGGAAGTTCAAAGGGAATACATTAGACAGAAAGAGGGTAGTTCAATAGAAATCAACCAAATCATTGGAAGGCCTCCTGGGAGGGATATAGTTGTTCACACCTTACAGACAGGAAGGAAGAATTTAAAATTAGCTTTAAACAGCAGGCACAAAATATTTTACTGTGTGTTTTTCACTGTAGCTGATGAAGGCGGCTGGAAACTGGTACAGCTATCTATCTGGGAGTCAGAGCACTTTAAAAATACATGTAGCTGACATGAAAACACCTCTCTTGAAGGTTGCCAACCACATCGAGGTGTGTCATGTTTGTAAAACAATTTTTTATTTTCATTAGCATTTACACAAAAATGAGAACAGGTTCTCAAAATCCATCTGATGTTCATTTCTTAGATTGTTGTTCACCTGTGGCATTCATAATTTCTCCCACCTTTACAAGACAGCTGTACTTAGGGAACAGCAGGGTCGGGTATACTGGAGGTCATTGCTGGAAGCAAGAGACTTCAGCTGGAGGGGGAAAGAAGAAGTTGAAAGCCAGGTGGTGTTCAGATTTCAGTGCTTGAAGACACGTAGAAGAACAAGAATAATCTGATGACAGGAGACTGGACATGACGGAATATGGTTTGGGCGAGATGAAATGGTCTTTTCTGCTTGGTATTGATTGCATTAATGAAATAGCATGGTCAGGTCAACTTCCAGGCCGTTTGGTAGATTAATCTTTAACTAAATCCATACATCAAGGAAAAAAAGATCTGCTACTATTATAATAAGCAAACACAATTTTAACACTGTTTCTGAAGGTTCTCTTTTTTCCTCTTTAATTTCATAATTTAACAAAAAAAAAATATGGATGTATCAGAAGTGCCAGCAAGTGGATTTAAAATTCCTTTGTGTTTAAAAACAGCAGCAACAACAAACAAACAGACATAAGCCAACTACCTAACATTAAATTGGATCCTTTCTCTATAATAACCTAATTTGTTTGACTGAGATGGCTTCATTTCTATGACTGTATTGTGTTGCCTTTTTTAACAAAACACTAAATAACATGTGAAACTTTCAACCCTAAGACATCGAAGAGAGGCCCAATGCCCCTAACCTTATAGTGCTTTCTGTGATAGATATTTACGATTTTTTTATTTGTTGCAAGGCCAATTTATTCATTATTGGAAATGCTAAGCAAGTGGAATTTACTGTTTTGTTAATAAAAATGTTTCTTAATACAAATGCTGGCTTGTTTCTTCTCTTGCTCTTAGATCTGGAGTACCTGTTCATCTTAAAGCAGTGAAAAGAAATGGTAAATTGGTATGTAGTTACAGACATTCATGTCAGGAAAAATTGTCCTCAGAGCTCAGTGTACACTTAAGTGAAAACCTTCTACAAGTCTTGTGTTCAACTGACCCAGTTAGAAAAGTATGAATTACATTAATGCATTGTCTGGTTTTGCATACAATTACTTCATTTGAAATTTTCTAGCTTTTTTTTTTTATATCAAGAAATTAAAACTCGATGTTCCCCTTCCCCTATGAATGAAAAAAGAATTCCCTTCCTTTTCCACCACTTTTTTTTTCCTGGTGGAAAGAAGATGGCAGAAGGTAAGGTAATCGGATGAAAAGTTAAAACTGAAAATATTTTTTTCTTGTCTAGAAGATGGTTTAAAAATTAATGGAAAAATGAACATATTTCAGGTCCTTAAAACATTCCTAGATAATAATTACAAAATTTCAACCGGAGCTAATCCATTACATAAGTACTTTCCTATTTAGCATGGCATTTAAATTCATGGGTAACTTCAAGCAAACATCTAATCCTATTGATTTAAGCAAGTGTCTAAAGTTGCCTAAATGTATTGCTGAATGGGGATGGAGTTAAGCTTTTGGATCTAAACTCCAAATAGAATTTAAGTATGTATCTTCTTTAATCACATCAGTAGCTTCTTTGACTTCAATGGGATTTATTCATCTGCTTAATTAGGTATAGACTGAAGTATTTTAGATAAGTTGAGGAATATCTGGAGAAAACAGCCCTGATCTTCCATTGGTATAAAACAGTTTATAGTTAAACTTACTTTATAAACTGCTTTATACTGGGATTAGTGCTTTTTTTTGTGTGTGTGTGTTTAAATAAATACTGAACATTCCATTTAGGAAAATGCTTTATACACATTTAAAGGAGCTATAACAATAGTGATTTTTGTTCTACTACAAAACCCCCACATTTAATTATACACTTTTTAATTCTACACTGTATTTGTTCATTTTTTTCTTACATCTATACTGTGGTCTCCCTTTCACCAAAATCCTAATGGCCTCTCAGTACCTGCATCATCCATCATCAGCTAACCGCTTTAAGTGGTCGCCTCCATAATCAGTCATCACTGTGGCCAAGTAGCTAAAAAACCTTCACAGGATGAGGAAAAAAGAGAAAAAACTAAACAATCCCCCCAAACGCAACTTAGAATAAGGAAAATAGAGCATACATGTAGGCTGTAACTGACAACTGTTTGTTAATTCCTCCAATATGACTTCTTTATAGTTCAACAGTTTTAAATTGGGTATCTAGGTATGACTCTCTCATGGATTATAGAAATTTGCTTCTAAGTTCAGTACAGTCCTGTTTAGAGGTGCTTGGAAGCATTGTGCGGGGGTAAGCCAGATTTGTCAGTACAATTTGATTTGGAACGAAGGCTATTTACTTTATTTTAAAGCCCCCACTTTGTTAGAGTCTGTAAGTATTTCAGCATTAAAATGTTTCTGGCCCTCATGGAAGTGGGGAGAAAGAGAAATCCACACTGCACTTAAATCAATTTATGAATTGATGAACACTTGGGGATGATAAAATTGCTTGCCTGCCAGCCTCTGATTTCTCTGGATGGTCTATTCCTCCTTTGGTTGGTCATTGCTCTCCATGAAACCAGAAGCATCCCCCGCGGGTTAAGCTTTGAGCTAGAAATTCCAGAAAAGAAAAAAAAAAAGTCATTGATACAGGTCTGCTCAGTTTTGTGAGGTGCAGGGCCAGAAATCACCCAGTCCTTTACCCGCTTACTTTGGAGGCTTCTTCCTACTCAAGGTCTTTGACAGACTTCAGCCATCAACTCTGACTTCTGGAAAAGAAAGTATGGCCCCTCACCTTTCTCAGTTACTCACTACCATACAAATATCTTCATTTGTTGTTCAGAACAAGCAGATTTCCATATGACAGTGCTCCTCCAGTGGGGCTGAATTACGGTAGACTTTGGGGTTTTTTTGAAGAAAAACCATGGTGACATAGGGGGTAGAGTAATTTCAAAGAGCGTGGGATTCTCAGTGAGTAAATTGCCTTTAAGGACAGTAATTTCAGGCTGGCATACACTTGAGAGGTTTAAAAATCCAGGCCAGTAATCCTCAACAACATCCTTTCGGTAAACAATAAAGACATTAGCTCGTTGTCAGTGAGCACAGGAAACGACAACACGGCTATCAAAATGTGAACGCATTGGTCTGGTTGCAGCAAATAACACAGGAAAATGGAATTTGGGCAGCCAAAAATAACCGCTGGCGCGTTGGCTGGACTCTTATGACCAAGTCTGATTACAAGGCAGTAAGCATTTATTGG